CTTACATTTTGTAAAATTTTACGACTAGCATGGAAATATTGTTTTATAAAAATCGGCCTATTATTCTTAATATTATTTCTCGTCAGTGTTTTCAGCTCATAATCATTTCATCTAAATACAATTTGATCCACAATTATTCGTACTCATTTAAAAATTGAATAAGTCTTTTAATATTCGACCTTACGAATTAATCTTTTGTTACGTATTAAAGATACTAGTTTTCTTTATGATGTATAACGTAAAATTAAGAAAAAACTGCTATAGATCGAACTTTTGAAGAGAATAGTAAAGTTGACAATTTTTAAGTTTCTTATTTTTTCCTCTAATAAAAATTCAAAATTGCTTTTTGGATATCGAAAGATGATATATGTACGTATAAAATGTCATTAAAATTAGTTGACGTTCTTAGGAACCATAAACGATTGAAGATTAATAAAATGTAAATATTGTGCCCTTTACTTTTCTCTTTCTAAATCTCTAGCAATTTTCTTTAATTCTTTAAGCATACAAAGAAATTAATTTGTTAAATCCAATATTAAGAAAGTCATTCAATTTCGAAATGTGTACGAATATTTATGGACTCCACCGTATATACGATAATAAATAATATTTCGAGTTTGTCTATAAGTGTATCAAACACTTGATAAGTATCTGAATTAATTTGAATGATTCTAACAAAAATTGCGCGGATCAACGGAAACAGAGTACGAGAATCGTGGTAAAGATTCGTTTAATACTGTTTCAGCTACAAGATGGACAAAACTAGCCCGCCGGCATCGGAACAGGTGGACTACATCATTTTAAGTAAGGCCGTTGATACTAGAATAATGAACAGAAAGCTATATTTACTTAAACGAGCCCAAGAACAGACCAAAGATTCTGCGCCCTAAGACCGCGTTTTATGGAACAGAATTGACAATATTTGATGCGGACACAAATGAACGATAGGCGATTTCAACGATGGTCCTACGTTGTGGAATGTGAGAGGAGCTTTACTGATAACCCAGTCATTTATGTAATTAAAGATTTTTGTTAAATCGACTTCTACGGATTCGGAGGTATTGAAGTTACGTGAATAAGAATTATCATTCCAACACGTGTCTAAAGCTGCTTGATGTAGCACCATCCCAATACCTTTGCCGGCGCCTTCGGGCACGAGGAACACTCGGAAGCTGACGATGCTCAAATCCGCGGGGAAGTCGTAACGAAGTGGCGAGAAGTACGCGTGTAAATTGAAAGGTAACGGGCTACGCGGATGCATGGCTATAATAGGATGTAACAATTCTTCTGACGCTAAATGGCCATATAACGACAGTACTCCCGACGGATAATTCGCCGAAGGCGTCGACGACACGCAGAAAGGTCTTCGTTTTTCAATAACGAGCATGAATACATGATTCGTTAATAAATTATCGGTGACGCCTTGACCAAGCCCTCTGTTATCATCTTGAAGCAATCTCCTGTCCTGCATGATCTACACGGGAATACTTTAGAAAGTAAAAGAAAGTAGAGACAAGCGTGAGGGAATAAAGAATAAGTTTACCTCAATTTGTCCAGGCGCCATCGAACTTACACCCAACGGTTGAGCCGTGACCGCGGTCAATCTAATTTTCTTATCTTCTATATACGCGCTCGCTGCCATCGGGTAATAGTTCCCCTGCGTAGGTAGCTTCGGAAACCTTTGACGCTTAATCATCTAAACAGTAATCGCATCTTTCACACAGCGTTCGACACCAACTGGTATAATTACTTACATTAAGCCCGTTTAAGTCGGTATAAAATTGATCGCCCGAAGCTATATCCGTCCTGAGTCTCATGGCGAGTTCATAATTCTGCGTTTCCGATATGTTAATCTCATTATTTATGTGTAAACCGAGTCCGTCGGCACCAGGAGAATTGTACAACGTACAAGTGTGGCGTATATACGCCAGCTCTACGAATACTTTCGACACGATGGGTCCGTTGATTAAGTGTATGATGCACTTGTTATCTGCTTGTACTAAGTCCGGTTCCGGTTTATCGGGTAAAAATAAATAGGCCCCACTTTTATCTTTACCAGACCCTCTGGTACCGTATTTAACGAATTCTAAATGAACGGGTACCGTCGTATTGCCGACTCTTAAAGCTTTTAAAAGGCCCAGCTTCCCGAATGATGCGGATAACTCAGCTCGCTGCGTAATCGAGAACTCTTGCGCGTTCGGTATCACTTGGATCTCGTTGAAACCTGCCAGTTTTGGAAGATTTATGTCCGTATTGTATACTGTTACATTCGCAACGTGAACTTCCCTGAACATAAAACGACTGATGATTATCTAATATACAGGGTGCTCAGCTACCGGTGGGAATAATTTCATGGAGTGATTTTAGAAGACAAAAGAAAGCAAAAGTCGAGAATGAAAAAATTTTGTCTGAGGCTCAATTTGTTAATTACTAGCGATTAAAAATGGCAGATGGTAGGCAATTCTACCTGCAGTGTGTGATTCTTAGAGCCAATATGTGTCTAAAGCGCGAGATGCTAATATATTCCTAGTTGTAACTGTTGCATTACGCACGTTGCACGATGTTGTTATTCTTGATTCTTGTCTTATTTTGGCTTGTAGACTCAATCTTTAAAATTTTCCCCATCAGTAGCTGAATACTCTGTATAAAACAGGGTTGCAGATAAATGATTAAACCTTTCACTCAATTAAACATCAATTGGCAGTTAATATTTGATTTTTGGATTCGGATTTGACTAATTAACACATCTTGCGCGGGCACTTTGCCGCCAAACCCTTACCGTGTAGCGGGCGATTTCTTTCGAATCTTTAGCGTATTACAACGTAATCGCGTCAGCAAAACGAATTCATAGGAATTCATTCTTGCAACGCACCTTTTGTATTTCTGCAACTCATGTCTATCTGATCTTATTGTAAAATCATCCAAAAAACCCATCGATAACAATAATCCATCAATAATCCGTGAAAAACGACTTTAGTCGCTTCCCGCACAAGATGTGAAATCCGCGCAAAACGACTTTAGTCGCTTCCCGCGCAAGATGTGTTAATTAGCATAATTAGAAGAAATTCGAATTAACGAATAAATTTGAATCTTTAATTAATCCTTTGACTACTGTTGGCGCCTAAAGGCGCTTAGAAAACTTGCGCTTGTCATACTGTAGGCGCCTATGCGCCTGAATTCCTACCGTATGGTATGGATGGTGCATCTTAAAGTTTGCCGTAGTAAAAGGATTAAAGAGTACTCCAATTGTCGATTAAGATTTAGAGAAATTTAATTGTCAATTGTTAACCCATTGACTACTACAGACATATGTATACGCCCTCGCAAATGTATCAATATATACGATAGACGTAAATATACGCCAGTCACAGTAACTGATATGCGAATATAGCGTTGTACGCACCATGGTTTTTCACGACAGCGTCAAAGGGTTAATGCAATTAAAAAAATCTGCAACCTTGGTATAAAACTGAAATAACGTTCGATAATAAAGAAGCGTACTGCGGGAACGATGATTTAGGCAGGGCATGAATTATGTACGTCGTGATGCCGAACCCGGGTACAGTTACCAAGAATGACAACTCGAATCTCGTGGCAGTTAAAGCGGCAGGTCCGATCCAGATCGGTGAGACCTGACATTGCACTGGTTGTCCCATACGATCTGTCACTTTAACATACTGAGTAGACACAACCAGCGTCTGTACTCTCGTCCGCTGCCTCGGTATCGAATTGTACAGTATAACTTTTTTCAAGGGATTCTCGTCTCCCAACATCAACACGTGTTTGTCTCCAGCGCTTGTGTGACGCAATCTGACAAAAACGATTAATTAAAGGAGTAAGAACATAGACAAGGCGTGATATCACTCTCTTACCTTGATTCATCCAGCGAGATGTATAAAGTATCGGCGTCGACCGTAGCTTCTTGCGAAGTCTTTAATAAATGCACCATCGATTGTTGTAGCACGTGCGCGGAATTGTTTAAAGCCGTTATCATCTTTTTAGCGTAATCTATAACAACTTCGTCTCTGGCAGTTCCGGTGATACCATCGTGATGTTGGAATAGAGAATGCCATTTTCTCGCTTTATTCAATCGTTCCGCAAGCGCACCTTCCACTACATTTTCACTACCTTTGGTCCACGCAACGGTAGACAATATTTCCGACGCTCTGAGTAAACTCATCAATACGCGATCTAATCGTTTATGGAAAGGTCTGCAATTTGGTTGTAATCAATTTAAAAACGTATCGCGTTCGTAATGTCGTTTTACGATTAATTTATGCTCAAGCGTACCTCGATGTATAATACCCGCTCCAATAGTGATCGTCTCTATCGGAGTAAGTGAAGAAATCACCAGACAATGTAGGAAACTCGTTCAAGTTATGCTTCTCTCTGATAGCGTCGAAGTAATCGCTTAACGTTCCGAATTTGATTTGAACGTTCATCTGTTGATTCTTATTCATGTAATCGAAGAGCCTTTGATAATTCTTATACTGTGCGTCCCATTCGGTGAAATGTGTATATCTAAAATCGTCTCCCAGCGGAGCTAACACTACATCGGTCTTAAAAAGTTGAGCTTTCTTGCGATATTGATCTAATAGAAGAGCCGCTCTCTCCGCGACGTTTGCCTTGGTTATCGTTCGCGGGGCTATCCTCCATGGGCAGCTAAGTCCGAAATTCTGTAGTCTGTAGAAATCGAACTGGCAACAGATTTTCGGATCCGGCCCGCAAGTGTGCGGAACGTCGTAACTATAAAACGGCATTACGTGCGTGAAGATCTCCGTCGATCCATCGTTGTCCCACAACTGCCTCCAACGAAACTCGAGTTGCTTTGTTCTGGCCAATATCTTTTTAACGGAGTAATGAACTCTTTGTATAAGTACGTTCTCCAAACCTGCCTTCTTTAGAAGATAAGGCATGGTCGGGGAGAGGCCGAAGGGATCTATCGCCCATCCCGAGTTCGGCGTATAATCTAAATTATACTTTAGCCATTGATGACCTTCGGTGAGCTGAACAAGCTGGGATGTCCAATGGGAAACTGATTCGTCCGGCATCACCCATCCACCCGCTACTATTTCCAACTGACCGTCGTGAATTAAACGTCTAACTAAATTCTGTGTCGTCTTAGATTGCTCGTCCCACCAAAGTTGAAAAAACGATACCTCCGCCCAAATAAATTTTCGCCTTCTATCCTCTGCCAATTTTGTTACCATATTATTTAATATGTTCCGTGTCTGAAGCGTGTAATACTTTTCGAAGGTGCTCAGCCATCCAGGATCGTTGTGAGAGTGCGGGACTACGAATACCTTCAGTTTTCTATTTGGATGCCACTGTTTCTCGTCGTACGTTATCTCCCATCCTTGTTTCCACACGCCACCGTCTACATTATCGAACTCCAATTGTCTGTACAAATCCAACATTTGGATATCCACCTCAGGAATCTTCTGTACATTGAAGTTACATTTAAGCACTTTGCCGCTTTGAGGCAATACAGGTGACACAGACTGAGTATTATGATTAATGTATATTTTATCTATAGGTACGAAATTCTTTGCCTCAGCCACTTCTCTCAATGCATTTACAACTTCGTGATGCTTATTAAAATCTTTTTCTAACTTGGCGAGTCTGTTCTCAAAGGGCAACCATTGATTCTGCAAATCAATCATTTTTCCTTGTTATGTCATAAATGTTAATATGTTCATTATAGACTTACATCGTTAACAGACCCTTGTCTACGTGGAGAAAGTATCAACTCCATAAGAAAGTACCCCAGAAGGCAGCAGATAATGAGCAAGACTATATTGACGATCATCAACTTCTTCTTAGTTCTCATTTTTGCTCATTTATCAATATAAATATCTCGTTGAACGACACTGTTAACAACATATGATATTAGTTTAAAATAAGGTATATAAAAAGGTATTCTCCACTTTAATGATTGTTTTGTAACCTTGTTCGTTTATATCCTTTGAGGATTACATATTAAATGTTTGTGAAAAAACATAGTTTCGATACTTATAGAGTACAAAGTGAAAGAATACGATAATCTTCCATTTATGCGGACTAAATTTTGCAGGAAATGAGACGTCAACATAAGATCGACTGTCACTCTTGTCACCTGCACCTAGCTTGCCGCCATATCAGTGATGTAAGATTTGCGGAATTTCGATCGCCGCGCGTACGGTGAGGAAAAGTGGAACTAAAAGTCTTGATGTAAGCAGAGTTGCTATCTTCTTCTACTCCGTATTCCATTATGGATTGTGAAAACTCCAATCCATAAACTTCGTGGACGTGGAAATCAGTGAGTAAATTGTTGAAAATGAGTTATTGCCGCGCTTCGTGACTGAGAAACGCAGTAGAAATTTCTTTTCATTTTCAACTTTAGGGTAATTACCCATGCAATACATCTTCAAAT